TTGAGGCTCTGTCTCAAAAAAAAAAAAAAAAAAAAAAGAAAATTTAATTATAATTTATGCAAACATAAGAAATATGAGCAGGAAAAGATAGTTTCTCTGAAAGCTTATTTGAAAGCTTTGAATGAAACTGTAAAGGACTAAGTTCTTGAGTTAGGTGTGGGTGAGATTGGGGGAAAGAATCATAAATCTAGGACGATTCTGAATTAAGACTTCCATAGAAGTGTCTAGGCTCTTGCTCTGTTTTGAAGAAGCTGAAATTGAAAATCTGGAGATAGTATCTCATAGGTGTGGCTTATGCAGAAAAGTGACTTGTCCTATTGACAGATGCTTAGGAGAAAAAGGCTTGGCTCTCTGACAAAAGATTGAAAATAAATATTTCATGTTTTAATTTAAACCATATTTTAAGGTGAGTGTGTGTGTTTTTAAAAATTGCTTTCTAGTTTAGTCTTAGGGTAAGAATGTTTTTGTTGTGGTTGTGCTAGGAGCTGCTGGTCAGCTGTAGCCTTCACGGTCCAAGGCAGCGTGTGTGGTGGGAAGAGCATGAGCTGGACTCCCAGAGACTGCATCTGACTTTTGTTTTGTCATTTCTTGCTGACCATGCCTGACTGTGCTCAAACTATTGCACCACTCTGGCCCTTGGGTTTTCTTATCTCTGAGCAGAGATGTCTGCTTCATTGGTTTTTGTGGGATGTGTGAAGACTTAAGTGAAGACCTAGCAGTGTCTGGCTCCCAATTTTAGTTGTTCTTACTTTCTTTCCCCTTCACTGAAAAGTCTGAATAAGTTATGAGTTTGTTTGTTTGTTTGTTTTGAGACAGAGTCTCAAGCTGTTGCCCTTGGGTAGAGTGCTGTGGCATCACAGCTCACAGCAACCTCAAACTCTTGGGCTTTAAGTGATCTCTTGCCCCAGCCTCCCAAGTAGCTGGGACTACAGGCGCCCACTGCAATGTCTGACTATTTTTTGTTGCAGTTGTCATTGTTGTTTTAGCTGGCCTGGGCCGGGTTGGAACCCACCAGCCTTAGTGTATATGGCTGGTGCCCTACCCACTGAACTACGGGCCCTGCCAACTTAGGAGTTTTGATAACAATACAGTGCCATAAGATAGAGTATAGAGGTATGTTTAAAGACTCTTTCATTGAAAAGGGAATGGGCTGGGTGTGGTGGTTCATACCTGTAATCCTAGAACTCTAGTAGGCCGAGGCAGGTGGATCACTTGAGCTTAGGAATTTGAGACCAGTCTGGGCAAGAGTGAGAACTCCTCTCTATGAAAAATAGAAAAATTAGCCAGGTGTTGTGGTGGGTACCTGCAGTCCTCAGGAGGCTAAGGCAGGAGGATTGCTTGAGTCCAGGAGTATGGGGTGAGTATGTGAGCTATGATGACACTAACCATTTTACCTGGGATGATAAAGTGAGACTTTATGTCAAAAAAAAAAAAAAAAAAAGAACAAAAGGAAAGGAAATGAAACAAGAGCTTATGGAAGTTAGCCAGAGAGTCTCCCTTTGGAGATTACAGAAGAAGTAAGATGGGCTGATGTGCATACACAGGTGGGTATTTGCCTTTCCCTGACCACAGAGAAGGACCAGTAGGAGTGACCTTGCCTAATTCTCTCTGTTTTCCCACCACTTTCTCATCTGCCTTCCCCAGAAGCCCTGTCTACCCATGTTTTTCCTTCTTGCCAGCCTTGGAAGATTATGATTCTACCTGCATTCTGGATCCTCCTCCTCCACTGTACTTCCCCTTTTATTCAGAAATAATGTCTCATCTGTTACCATCTTTTTCTTTTGTATTTATGATATTTTCTTTTTTTTTTTTTTTTTTTTTTTTGAGACAGAGCCTCAAGCTGTCCCCCTGGGTAGAGTGCCATGGCATTACAGCTCACAGCAACCTCCAACTCCTGGGCTCAAGCGAGTCTCCTGCCTCCGCCTCCCAAGTAGCTGGGACCACAGGCGCCCGCCACAACGCCTGGCTATTTTTTGGTTGCAGCCGTCATTGTTTGGCGGGTCCGGGCTGGGGATTCGAACCCGCCACCTTAGGTGTACATGGCTGGCGCCTTAGCCGGTTGAGCTATAGGCGCCGAGCCATTTATGATATTTTCTACTGAAATATTGATATCGTTGTTTAAATGGTAGGAGGACACCCACCTAGACTAATTTCAGGGATAAAGCTTCCTTATAAGGAGGGTACATCGAAATGTAAATAACCAGGAAAACAATCTGGCCATGTATTGGGTCTGTATTCCTGGGTTGGGACAACGGTGTGGCATCTTTTGGGTGCTGTCTCTTTATTCATCAGCTGTATGTATGTCCATGAAAGGATTCCATGGGTGGGTGGATTAAATGGTGGTTAAAGGCAGCAGCTTTGGATTCAGAAGACTGCTGTCTAAACAAATGGACAAGTTATTTGAGCTCTCTCATTCCCGGTTCCTCCTCAGTGCTTTGGAGATAGGAACAGCTCCTGTCCTTCAGGGTAGTTGTCGGAATGAGACAACCTACATACAGTACATAACACATAATGTACATAGAAGCTTCTAGTAGATGCTAACTGCTATTATCATTTATCACCATCATTGTCACCATCGTCACTCACCTTTTGGCTCGACCTATTTTTGCCTGCCTACTAAGGATCTCTTCCATTTGATCAAGGTCCTCATTAAGCTCACTCGGAGGTTACAGTGCAATGTCTGTGATAAAAAACTATAAGATTTTTGAGGGCTTTATTTTACTGAGCCTAAAATCCCCAGAACTTGCCACAGGACCTAGAACATAGGACTTTTATTAGTGAAAGTGTGTCAAATACATTTGAATGTATGGATTCAAAATCTTTCACTTTGGGTATGTTTTGTAGATTCCTTATCCTGAGACACTCTACAAAAGAGAAATGTGTGATCATAAAAGTGCGTTCTTAAACCAAGCATTTTGTTCCATTTTATCCTGGGTATATGTTTGATCTTAAATATCTATAGTTATTCTATTCGATACTAGTAACCTGACACATTTTAGGCCTTTAATTCTTTTTGTAATAAATTTGGTTCAAATGTTCCTCAATGAACAGAACTTTTTCTTCTATTATAATTAGAGGAAATTCTGATAAATTTTCTTAGGAGCTAATAATTTAAATTTGCTCAAACCTTTCAACTAATATTTCCTTTTAAGAATGACAATTGAATGTAGTAAAGAAACAATGTTGAGAGTATAAAAAGTAGGCATTTTGGCTCAGCACCTGTGGCTCAAGTGGCTAAGGCACCAGCTACATACACCTAAGGTGGCGGGTTCAAATCCAGCCCAGGCCCGCCAAACAACAATGATGGCTGCAACCAAAAAAAATAGCTAGGCGTTGTGGCAGGCACCTGTGGTCCCAGCTACCTGGGAAGCAGAGGCAGGAGACTCGCTTGAGCTCAGGAGTTGGAGGTTCCACTCTACCCAAGGGGACAGCTTGAGGCTCTGTCCCCCCCCCAAAAGTAGGCATTTTATAGATTTTAAGTTTTGTTTTGAAACAGAGTCTTATTATGTCACCCTGCCTGTTGTTTGGCAGGCCCAGGCTGGGTTCTGACCCGCCAGCTCTGGTGTATGTGGCTGGCCCCTAGCCACTAAGCTACAGGTGCTGAGCCCCAATTTATCTTTTTAATATTTCTTCTTGAAACTCATTGTTTCTTTCTAGTTCATTTTTCTCCATCCTAAAGAACATGGTATAACAGTTATTTCAAAGAGGCTGTGAGTGATATATCTTCTCAATCTCTGTATGATGGAAAATGTCCTTAATTTATCCTCACTCTTTTTTTTTTTTTTTTGAGACGGAGCCTCAAGCTATCCCCCTGGGTAGAGTGCCATGGCATCACAGCTCACAGCAACCTCCAACTCCTGGGCTCAAGTGAGTCTCCTACCTCAGCCTCCCAAGTAGCTGGGACTACAGGCGCCCGCCACAAGGCCCGGCCATTTTTTGGTTGCAGCCATCATTGTTGTTTGGTGGGCCCGGGCTGGGGATTCGAACCCGCCACCTTAGGTGTATGTGGCTGGCGCCTTAGCTGCTTGAGCCACAGGCGCCGAGCCTATCCTCACTCTTGAATGGTAGTTTAGCTGGGGATATAATTCCAAATACCATCATAAAGACATTATCCCATTATGTTTTGGTCCATAAACTTACAAGTAAAACATTTTGGTACCAGAACAGGAATAGGAAAATAGATCTATAAAATAGAATAGAGAGGGCTGGGTGTAGGAGCTCATACCTGTAATCCTAGTCCTCTGGGAGGATCCCTTGAGCTCAGGAGTTTGAGACTAGCCTGAGGAAGAGTGAGACCCCATCTCTACAATAAATAAATAAATATAAAGTAGAGAATCCAGAAGAAGATACTTTTATATACAATTACTTATTAAATGAAAAGGCATTTTAAATCAATGGGGAAGCTTGGTCAATAAATGGCATTAGAGGCTCAGTGCCTATGGCTCAAGCAGCTAAGGCACCAGCCACATATACCTGAGCTGGCAGGTTCAAATGCAGCCTGGGCCCACCAAACAACAATGATGGCTGCAACCAAAAAATAGCCAGGTGTAAAAAATAGGCATTGTGGCAGGTGCCTGTGGTCCCAGCTACTTGGGAGGCAGAGGCAGGAAACTCGCTTGAGCCCAGGAGTTGGAGGTTGCTGTGAGCTGTGATGCCACAGCACTCTACTCAGGGTGACAGCTAGAGGCTCTGTCTCAAAAAAAAATAAAAAATAAATAAATGGCATTGGAAAATTGTACATCCATTTGGAAAATATACCATGAAATAATAACGTTACATAATATAAATGCATATAAAATTTCAAATAGATTTCAATCAGAAAAGTATTTACAAAGATATAGGAGAATATTTATATAATCTTGATGTGACACAAAAAGACCGATTTGATAGTGTGCTAAACTTCTTATGACAAAAGATAGCGAGAGCAAAATTAAAAGACATAACAAAACAAATACTGCATATAACAAAAAGTCATTATATAAATAGCCTTTATGTGTTATTAGGAGAAAAAAGGGCAAAATAAACAAAATAGATAATTCATAAGTAAAGAAATACAAGGGGGAACATTAGTCAGTTAAATAAGACTGTTGAGTCATTTGTCATATTAGCAAAGATTAAAATTATTTTTAATTCTCAATGGTATTACAAGGAAATAGATAATCAAACCGTTTGTTTTTTGTTTTGAGACGGGGTCTCACTTCATTGCCCAGAATGGAGTACAGTGGTGTCATGGTAGCTCACTGCTCCCTGGAACTCCTGGGCTCAAGTGATCCTCCTGTCTTAGCATTCTAAGTAGCTGGGCCTAGAGTTGTGAACCGCCATGCCCAGCTTAATTTTTTTTTAACTTTTTTTTTTTAAGATAAGTCTTACTATGTTACCCAAACCAATGTTTAAAGTATGCGTTTTTAAATACTTTTTGAGAATAATCTGTCAATATGTATAAAAAATTTTAATATGTATATTCCTTGGTTCAGAAATTTGACCTTTTAAATTTTTATAAGGAAGTAATTGGATACAAAGCAATTTCATAGGCAAAGTATATTTTTCTTGTAATATTTATATTAGCAAAGAGATTAGAACCAATTTAAATTTACATCAGCAGAGGACTTTTTAAAATAAATGATGCTGGCTCGGTGCCTGTGGCTCAAGTGGCTAAGGCGCCAGCCACATATGCCTAAGGTGGTGGGTTCAAATCCAGCCCAGGCCTGCCAAACAAGAATGATGGCTGCAACCAAAAAATAGCCGGGCATTGTGGTGGGTGCCTGTGATCCCAGCTACTTGGGAGGTGGAGGCAGGAGACTCGCTTGAGCCCAGGGGTTGGAGGTTGCTGTGAGCTGTGATGCCACGGCACTCTACCCAGGGGGACAGCTTGAGGCTCTGTTTCCCAAAAAAAAAAAAAAATAAAATAAAATAAAATAAAATAAAATAAATGATGCTGTACTTATAGAACTATCTAGATTTTTTAAGTGTTATAAAATGACCCATTTTTAATAAAACAAGAAAAAGCATATTATAAAATAGTATATAATGATCTTAATTTTGTGTATAAAATATGGAAAAGTTATAAAAACTTAAAAGAAGACTGAAAGAATTTATGCCAAAATTTGTTCTCTTCTGTATTTTCCAGATTTTTAAAATTAATTTATTTGAAATATACTTATTTGTGTAAGTATAAAAAAAGAAAATATGAGGTGGCCACAAAGTTTGTGTACAAATGTACACTATTTTAAATTGCACACAAACTTTGTGGCCACCCCGTGTGTGTGTGTGTGAGTGTGTGTGTGTGTGTGTGTGTGTAGGCACACAAGCATATAAACATTTTAAGAATGTATTGTAAAAATGGATTCTTTGTAACTGTAAATGTGAATGCTGAAGTCTAACTTTTCCCTATTTTCCACTTGAGGAGAGTTCTCTTTTTGTGGTTGTGAAACTGAGGCATGTCAGTATTCTTTAAAAGAGAAATTGATTTGGTATCCACAGATAACCTTGAAATGGAGACCTAAAAAGTCCCTCCCAAGTTATGTTGTTGATTTTGCTGCAGTGATTACAGCTGCAGTAAACTCTGGTATAGGCCCCACAGGCTCCAGAAAATCAAAGTCAAGCCTCTATTCTCAGACACATCCTGAGATGCAGGGAGCTTGAATGCCGGGTCAGAAGCCGTGTTACCATCATCTGCTTTTCTCTTCAGGCTCCCGGAGAGAAAGATGCGGGTACCGCGTAGTGCCGAGACAGCGGTGTTCTGATGAGCACCTGCGTTGCCCGAGCAAGGCCAGGAAGGGCGGCGGCCCGGCGCCCCGCGTGCGGGACCTGCTGCTGAGCGCCCTGAGCCCGGAGCAGCTGGTGCTGGCGCTGCTGGAGGCCGAGCCGCCCCGCGTGCTGGTGAGTGGCCCCGGCGGGCCCTTCACCCAGGAGTCCCTGATGCTGTCCCTGACCAAGCTGGCCGACAAGGAGCTGGTACACATGATCGGCTGGGCCAAGAAAATTCCGGGTACGAGAAAAACCTGCTCCTAACATTTAAGGGGCAGGAGTGCGAAATGGGTCCATAAACTATGCCTAGATATGTTAACGGCCTGGTTTATAACTTCTGAAGGAAATATGTTCTTTCCTCCTGTCTTGACAGACATACCTTTATCAAGGCCAGGCTCAGAGTCTCACTATGTCGCCCTTGGTAGAGTGCCATGGCATCGTAGCTCACAGCAACCTCAAACTCCTGGGCTTATCGATTCTCTTGCCTCAGCCTCCCAGTCGCTGGAACTATAGGTGCCTGCCACAAGGCCTTGTTTTTGTTGTTGTTGTTGTTGTTGCAGTTGGCCTTGAATGGGTTCCAACCTGCCAGCCTCGGTGTATGTGGCTGGCGCCATAACCACTGTGCTACGGGCGCTGAGCCTGATTAAGAATTCTTGAACTCCTCTGATTTCTATCCCAGATGTGGAAGCATAGGAAAAATGGTGGTGAAATGCACACGGTCACACACTGCCTTGGCACACTTCATGCCATCTGCTGCACCCTCCCCAAACTGGCCTAGAGGTGGCCTCTCAAGCCTAGAGGTGGTCTGGGAGCAGGGACCCCGGGAGCAGCCCACCCAAGCTCTGCAACTGAGCTGGGAGTCATTTCGGCAAGAAATTCTAGAGGGACCTGGAACAAGGTTGAGAGGAAGGAATATGGGGTTCACATTGACCTGACTCTTGGCTGTGGACCCCTCATCTGGAGAGGACCATTGTGGTGTGACTGAAGTGAAAGTGAAAGTTTTGTCAGATACTAAGTAGTATTTCATAAAATAGTGTCATGTATGTATATGAGCATACATGGACGAACAGGACATCAGCAGTTGAAGTAACATGAAGCGTCTAGGCCAGTACCCCTGGACGCCATCACTTTAAACATGGGCTTAGCGCCTCAGGAATTGTCATTGGGAACTCGCATTTCCCCTCTTAGAAGGTGGTCATTTCCCTCGGCCCATTGGTAATAATATACCTGAAGTACTGTATTGTGCTAATTTTTAATACCTACTAATTATCCTTTAAATTGGTGTTTCTGTGGAGAAATGAATCTAGGATTCTAATCTAGCCCCACTGAAGAACCTCTTCCATACGCTTCTTTGCAGTGTGTAAGAAATGAGGTCTCTCTCCATGTTCTGAGCCACTGGGGGCCCTCTCATGGCCTGGCAGCTGTGTTCGGTGGACTGCAGAGATTAGGAGGCCGCTGGGGGAAGGGCAGTTGAGGGGTAAAGACCTGTGGGAACAGGCCCTCAGTGATCGTGTCTTTGGGGTCATTTGTTGGCCTGAGTCCTTGCCTACTGAGCTTCTTGAAATGTTCTGGGTTTGGTTTTGCTTTGTCTAGCATCTTCACCTTCACCAGAATTGTTTCCTAGAGGAGATAGTACTGATGTACTTTCCTCTGGTTTTTGCTTTAAATGTGTTTCAAACACCATTTTGCAGGACTGCATGTGGAGACTGGGGGGAAACTAACCCCTGCTGAAAGTTGTGCCGCTTCCTTGTGCCATAACAAAACTGAACTCTTAAGTTGCATGAGTCCTTATTCAAGTGTGGTATTTTGAAAGTTTTTCCAAAAAAACTTTCTGAAGGGGTGATTTCTTTTTCCCCTCTTTTAGCTGAGCTAAGCATAGCATGTGGCTTTGGAAAGTATTTATCTATCTTTACATTCATTATTCCATTAACTTATCCTTTATGCAGATCGACATAATTGTTCAGACTTGAACCATTGTGTTCTCTGTACAGTTTCCTTATCTGTAGAATGAGAATGATAAGAGATCCTTCCTACCTGTAGGAAATTCTCAGAGGTAACTTTATTACCCCCATTTTTCCTATAAGAAAAACAAGAACTTTAAAAGGAGATTAATGACCAGTTAGGAAGAGGCTGATGGGGTCTAGCCACTCTGAGGCCGTGCCTTTCTCTCCTATATTTATATTACATCGGCTCCTGCCTTTACCATGACTTGTAAAAGAAGTTGTGGCGTTGTGTCTGCTTAGCTTTTGAAGTGCTCACATCCCCAGACACTGATTACCTGTGTCTTTCCAGTCCTGTGAACAATGAATGCTATAAGGTTATTGGGACCTGCTTGGATGTTTACATGTGTATTTGCTCTTTGGAATGGAATCACCTAGGGACACTACTTCTATGCAGAAGAATGATCCTAACACTGACTGGGAAAGTACAAACGATCAGGGAAACCGCTTCAGATGAAGCCTTGACTTTCAGCAGGGGCCGGTACTTCTTTCTGCATGCTCCCCCCTCCTTCTGACCCCCAGCTTCTACCTACCCTGTTCTCCCACTCTTCCTGGGCCCAATCATGGATGGGGGCAGGCAGGTAGCCTCTCTGACTGGCATCCAAGCAATATCTTTCTCAGCAGTGCAGAGGAGTTATTAGGATACAGTAAACAAAGAGTTATTCTGGCTTTCTGTTCCTCTCCTGTCTCTGCATGGGGATTTGTCTCTAGAAGGGGCCCAAGATTGGGAATTGTGAATTGCATAACTTAAGCATCATAATTGTCTTCCTTTAACCAGCATTAAGCCACATTTTTATCGATTATTTCTCTATATTGTTTGTGTTTTCTTAGCATTTTAAAACTTGCTATTCTGTCTTTGCAGAAACAGGAGCTGTGGAGCAGGGTAGGTGTGTCTCATGGCCTCTTGCTTTCCCCAGGCTTTGTGGAGCTCAGCCTGCTGGACCAAGTGCGGCTCTTGGAGAACTGCTGGTTGGAGGTGTTAATGGTGGGGCTGATGTGGCGCTCCATCGACCACCCCGGCAAGCTCATCTTTGCTCCAGACCTTGTTCTGGACAGGTGAGGAAAAATACATTGTTTCTTCTCCAACTTGTTTGAGTGAGGGCTTAGCAAGGAGGCACAAAGTCCTGGGTGCGGCAATTAAGATCTCACACCGGGAGGGCAATTAAAAGGTGAAAATGTGCTCAGTTCCTTCACTGGGTCAGGAACCAGAGAGAAAGAGCATCGGTACACAGATTCAGTGTCCTATAACTTATTTGAGTTTGCAGCAGCATTTACAGGCCGGAGGCACGATGGGACCGTAGCTTGCAGGGGTGCGGCCACTAAGTATATAAGTCAACACAGACTTTTGTTTTCAGGCTATAATCTTTAGTCATCCTACTGTTTTTCCTCCTACAGAGACTGATTATATCTTGAGCTACTTGGAAAGGTGATAAAATTCTTACGAATCTGCTAAGTTTATTTTCATGTACTTTAACTCACTCTATATAGCATTTTTGGCAATAGTGTTAGAAGGAGTGGTTATCAAAACCAAAGGAAAATCAACAGAAATTGGGAAACGATGGCTGAAGCCATGACTTGGTTGCATTTAGTTTTCTTCTAAAGATGAAAATCAACTTTAATCAACTTAGGCTAACTATTTATGGAGGCAAAGCTGGGATATACAACTGCCAAGCCTTTTAGCAAAGAAGCAGAATACTCTATTGGTGAATTTGAACAATTGGAAAATCTCCATGGAAGTTGATTTCCATGCCCTTTATGTTGAAAAAGTGTCAGTGTTGAATGCTCAGCCACATTAGAACTCGTGTGGAGTGGGAGGATACCTCACACTGTGAATGGAAAGTGCCTGCGCCAGCTCTTGCATTACAAGCCTGTCACTGCTTTAGGTCATCAGAAGACCCCCATGTATACCTCAAGCAGGTAGAGAGTGAATCCCCAAGGTATCAGCACCCATTCAATGTAATTGAGGTGTTGTGGCAGAGAACAGGGCCTTTGGGAAGAGCCTGAGCATGGGAACGTGGGACATTACTTGAGCAGGAGCCAACCACAGAGGGGGGCCCTGGAAATTCAGAGCCGTGCAGGGGATCAGACCCAGTAGCTCCTTTATTGTGTGTACACTTGACAGGTGTTGACTCATTTAATCTTCCCCACAGTCCTTTAGGGGTGAGTACTATTATCATCCTTGTCCTTCAGATATGGAGACAGGAGGTTAAGTGATCTGCCTCCAGCTACTGGGTAGTAAGTGGTGGAGCTGGACTTGGGGCTGTAAAGTGTGTAAAGTTCACACTCTTATGGACAACAATACACTGCCTCTTAGCAGGATAGAGAACTGGAAGGGAACAGAGGAGGCCAAATGGCGGACTGTCCACCTGCTTTCTGTTTTTGTCTTAGACCAGCCCTACTCTACTCTTCACCTACTGCAGAAACCCACTTCCTCTGCTGTCATCTCAGGAGACCATGTTATAGGGCAGGCTGAGATGTCAACCACCCAGCCAGGCCCCTGCTTCCTTCCCTCCCTCCCTCCCTCCCTCCCTACCTTCCTTCCTTCCTTCCTTCCTTTGTTATTTTCCACTTAAGTCATCTTGCATGTAAATATTCACATTAATTCTCCTAGAAGTTAGTGCTAGAGGTTAGTGTTCCATCCCTGGATGAACTGATGCATTTGCAGAAATTGAGACTTAATTATTTTACTTTTTGCACTGATTTCAAAACTGGTGAAAAATTTTGTGTTTTTTTTCTTTTTTTTTGTCATTTTCTTAGTTATTATTTTAAAACGTTCACATTCTGCTCTTGTGTGTTTTTTTCTAGTGACTGTTCCATTCCAGGTTTTCAGTACAATCAGCTGTTCTCTTTCTGTCACGAGTTCTTCAAGTCCCATAAATATGTGTATAAGTTTTATAAATGGACACAAACTCTGTATAAATGGTAGGCCTACCTATTAGTTACATTAGAGAAAGGAAAAAGTTTGATTGATTGAGACGAGGTCTTGCTGTGTTGCCTAGGTTGGCCTCAAAATTCCTGGGCTTCAGCAGTTCTCCTACCTCAGCCTCTAAAAGTGTTGGAATTAACAGGCGTGAGCCACCTTGCCTGGGTCCTAGTGTTGTTTTTAACACATTGACTTGTGAAGTCTAGAATTTCAAGTTTAAGATAGTTCAGCTACTTAGTGTATCTCTTACACAGATAAATACATTTTTATGTAATAGATATATTTCTGGAGCAGTTGCTTATTCAAAAAGTCAGGATCATGCTCCCTAAAGGAGTTCTGTTCTAAATGTTTTTTTGCAAAGTGAATAAATAATATTTATTTGAAAATAATTGTTTTTTGCTGGATTGTCCTATCAAAGTTCCTTCAAGTGATGTTATGAGTACATAAACAGTGATTGCAACTAATTCAGCCCATGTGTGGATACTGAGACTGTAATTTCTGTTTCCCTTTATTCTTGTTGAGGCTTCTGCAGCAAGAAAACTTGAGCCTACCGAGGATAAGAGGAAACCCCAGTTATCTCAGCTTTTTCTAGCAAGGTAGTTCTTTTTTTAGTAACTACTAGAATCATACATTCAATGTGAAGACCTACCTCAGAACCTCACCTTCTACTTCTTAAAAAAAAAAATTATATATGCCAAGACATCTTTGTTTCCTTAGCATCAACAAGAAGCTCTCTAATATTAAATGTTATTAAAAAGTCAGAGGAATTTTGGACCTGGGCTTGGACCGTATTGTAGATGTCTACAGACTTCTATAGAATCGTATGTCTGTACAGGTACCGAGCTTGCATTCACATTAGTTATTTGTATGTTGAATTTCTTCAAGATCACGACAGAATTTTCACTTCTAAATTTTAATTTACCCTTATATAGCCAGGAAATTTCACAATTTCACATATTCATTACGTCCTTTCCATGTTCTAAGCCTTACGTGGCTCCACTGTCATCTTCATCCCTATAAGCACCCCCATTCCTACTGTCACACACACAGAGGTCCACTGTGGGGTACTGCCAGCAGATATGTGTATAGGCGCAAAATATTGTTCCCCAAAGCAAGGTCCATGCATTCAAAAGTTTGGTGTTGGTATCAAACATATTTTTCTTATGTAAGAGTGATAATTAATAACAAATTCCACATCTAATTACTAAATTTTGTTTAATACTGGTTTATGGAAGCAAAAACAAATTTCTGTCAGTAGGTCAGTTTGATTGATAAATTATTTCAGTGTTTTAGCATTCAAATTATATGTCCTCTGTCTTCAACTCTTCTAATCCTGTCCTAATTTCTTATTCATAATTCAATTTTAATCTAAAATTACGAAATAAATGAAATAGATTTCATCAATTTGTCATTTCAAAGTCCTTCCCCCCTTTGTTCTGTGTAATTCATTTGAAAGTGGAAGTTTATCAGGTTGTCATTAATGAAATATTATACTTTATTATCTCTATACTTCTTATTTATTTTGTAGAAATATATTTGATTTCTATAGCCTGTAAAGTGAATACTTTGCCAGGTGTGACATGGTTGGCTGTTATACCTGCTAAAAAGAAATCAGACCTAGTTCTTTAGATTTTCTTTAGAAATTCACTTTTTTCATGAGGTATATATCCTCTGATTACTATGAGTTATAGCATTTATTAGTTTTCAAGAGGCCACCATATGTAAACTCTCCACATTTTAAATAAGAATTTTCGTTAAAAACTGCATGTATTTTAATGAGAAACTGGTATCAATTTCAGTATTTAGGGATCGTTTTAAGTACAGGTGGCAACTTCTAGAAAATAGGATTGATTTCAGATGGGTCCCCTTACCGTATGAGAGGAGGGGAGTGTGAGTTGTGCATATGTGTGTAATCCTACATCAGACTCCGAGACTCACAGAAGAGCTAAACTATTAAACCACCAATGCAGAAGTTGGTGGATTTTTTGTTTTGCCCCCCAAACATATTTTAAAACCAGCTTTTCTTGGTATCCAATGTTCTCAAGCCCAACAACTTCCAATAATTTATTGTCCCCAGGCAAAGTGACTTAATGTGGCATGAGGGGCATTCAGTGAACAAGTATTTCTTCTTTGTGTCAGCTGTGTACATGGCCTATGCTGTTCTTACTGGACATCTGCACAAGTCTACCTCGGAGATCCCAAAACTTAGGGAGGTGGTTAGTGGGGAGGGTTGAGGATTTCCTATAGATTTTGCCACTGTTTGCCCAGGGCTCTTATACTCCAAAGTCTCCTTTCCCTATGAGTGACTTCTAGGGGGCACTGGTGTTTGGTTATTTAACCTATGCACTTACCAAAAATTGTAGGAGTGTGTTTGTAGGAGTTAGCATGCTTAGTTGTCAGTGAGCAATTTGCATACTTGTAAACCTGCCTAAGAGAGTCTGGGGAGGGAGGTGCCAGTGCCTTGGAATGCAGGATCCTAGTGAGCTGTGTGGCACTGCACTTAATGGGAAAGGCTTCCCCGGGTTAATTGGTGGTACCTATTATTGTCAGTTCACTTAAATTCTGCAAAGCTCTTCCCCCCAAATACTGCTATCGCTAGAAATGTCCTGGCTTACTGTAGGGGAAGGAAGAGGGAAGCAGCCAGTTCTTTGAGGATCTTGAGTTCTTGTTTGGAACTGCTAAAGAGACTAACGGTGGAACCTGCAGAAACCCATTGCCCTTCCTTGTGTGCTGTAGGCTTTCAGGAGTGAAGGAGGGTTTCATGGTGATGTCATCTGTTTGTTAAGACCTTCCAAATAGAAAATTTGGGGGAGTAGTGAGGTGGAATAATGTGATAATGTGCCTAGCTGGAGTGAATAGAAGCTGCTATTTTCTAGATAAAGTTTTAAGTAATTTACTTTCAAAGTATATTTTAAAATTTACTTTTAAGTTGCTTTTGAAAAGAATTTTGATTATATGTCTCAAAGTTTATCTAAAATATTTTGTTTAAAAATAATTTCAGTAAGTAAAAGATTTCCCCCCTTTCACATCTCTTTTCCTGATTCTAATCCATTTTCTCTTAGTGTGATTTCTTTGCATATCATATTTGCTTTTTCCAAATTATATTTAAATGTTTCTTAGCTGCTATGCCAGTTTCTAAGTGACCACCAGGAAATGAGAGTTGAGCCCTAGATATGAAGTTTTATTTCTTCTTGGAATATTTGCTTCTGTAACGACCAGTCTCCCTCAGTAACACTTCCTGGTGGGAACACAGACTGGGTCATTAGAGATATGTGTCACTTGTGGGCTGGTTGACTGAACTGACTTAGGATGAAAATGATCAACAGCAGTGGTGTTCCTGTGCAAAAACATTTGGTGAACAGGCAGAAGGAAAATGTAGTTCCAGGGCATATGTTTGCCTAAATAGTATTTACACACGTATCTGCTTTAGGGCTTTGTAGGACATGCCCTGTCTTCCTTATAGATAATTGTAGTAATTTCATGTGGTTAGGTAAGATTTCATCCACGCTTTGTTGTAGTCAGCAAAGTCTTAACTGTAACATGTTTACAGATGTTATTCAGATGAAATTTGAGATGAATAATAAAACACTCCTTGTTGTTTTTTAATGGTGGCCTGAAGCTGTGTTCTTTAAATTTCCAAATGAACTTTTGTAGGGATGAGGGGAAATGCGTAGAAGGAATTCTGGAAATCTTTGACATGCTCCTGGCAACGACTTCAAGGTTTCGCGAGTTAAAACTCCAACACAAGGAGTATCTCTGTGTCAAGGCCATAATCCTCCTCAACTCCAGTGAGTAATCGCGCAGCTGGGCTGGGTTTTATTGCTGAGAGATGCTGCCTCTAGAACCAGCATGGTGTTAGGAAGAGTATTGGACTTCTGTTTTATTTTAAAAGGGTAAAATGACTTTATTTTGGATGTCTCTGTTTTATTTTGTACAAGGATTTAAACTACCAAGCTAACTTTTGGTAAGTTGAATTAAATTATTCATTAGGTGAATGACTGGCAAGTCAAGTTAAAAAGTAGCTCAAGCCATTTTCTGGAAAAGAGAGGAAAAAAGAACTATAAAATGTTTACCTTTCAGCTTTTTTTTCAGTTTTTACACAGACACTTTATATGATTGACGTGCATTTGTATTTATTGTTTTGGAGTCTACTTTTCACAGGTTCATTCATTCACTCAAGACATTGAAGTTACAGTCCTGCCCTCAAATAGTTCAGAGTGTAGAGAAGGAGGGAGAGGAAAGACATCATTAAAATTGATCTCAGGGCCATAATAAAGTGTGCAGAGGGCACCAAGGGGAGACAGAAGGAGGAGAGATGCCGGAGTGGATGCAGAAGGGAAGGATGTTTGAAGGTGTCTTCAGGGAAGAGAGAGGGAAGGCTGGGTAAGGTTGCAGAACACAGCGCTGAAGATTACAGATTGCTGCCTTCAGCCTTAGGAGAAGTTCAGGCAAGGGAGCTTCGGGCACAGATCCGAGTTACAGAAGGTCATTCTGGCTACCATGTGGAGGGCTGACTGGAAAGGGGAGAGACTGAGGCAGAGGCGGCTAGAGGCAGTGAGAGCCAGAACTAACTAATGCTGTGGTCAGAAGGCAGGACCGGACCTGAGGGAAATGTCGGGTGCAGGTGGGAAATGAGGAAGGTGTATAGCACGTGTGGATGGTTTAGCTTTGCTATTTATTTTCTCATATAATGTTACTTGGTTATTGTAAACATTCAAACAAAGGAAAAAACATAAAAGGAAGAAAATAAAATCGTCAAGACAACTGTCCTCAAGATAACCACTGTCGTTGGTGACCATTCTTTATCAGTGTGGCTCATACCCACACTCCCTTGTCCTTTTTTTCTGTCCTGTGATAATCACTTAAAGTAATAGCTCACTTCCAATGGATACTGGGATAGTTTTTCATTTTTAAAATACAAATACTTCTCCTTCTTGCTTTTTTTACTTTTTAAAATGCTGTGAAATCCCCACCAGGTCAACTAGGAGACGTCTACTCAATCTTTGAAATGAAGGCAGCCCACTAAATTGTTCAACCCATTCCCCTACTGATGAGCCTTTCCTTAACATCCAGTTCCTCATTTCTTTTTTTCACCATTATGAACGTCACTGCAGTAAGTAGATTCATTATTTTGGACGCAGTTCTGGGTGCCTGGGCAGCTGTGAAGCTGCTTGGTGCACTGTCTACCTGGTGTCTGATCTGGCCCCAACACCAGGTATTGATAGCTTTGCTCGGCTGTTTACTCTTCTTGGGCCTTTAGGTTATTGATTTTTTTCTTTCTCAAATACTATGTGTATCCAAGTTTTAATCCTTACTTGCTGGTTTACAGATACCCTTATTTGAACAACATATGGGGCTCTATTGCTTAGATGTTATCCAATTGAAGAGCTCAGTGCTTGAAGCCACAGGGAAATGTCAGACTGTATAACACCTCTGTATTTTAACTCAGCCAAACAGCAGTTCCTGAAGCCAGAGTTCAGTGCTGACCCTGTGGCCTCGCGGGTCCTAGGCTGTCCTCCTGATCCAGGGCCAGCTGACTGCCCCCTCCAGCCCTTATACATTTTTTCCTTCACAGACTCCAGTACATTGGCACTAGTTTTGATGAGCAGTGATCCTCAGACTATCTGTGGTGAAAAACCAGATCTCTTTTTTTTTTTTTTTTTTTTAATGACAAGGTCTCATTCTGTCACCTGGTCTAGATTACAGTGGCATCATCATAACTCACAGCAACCTCAAACTCCTGGGCTTATGTGATCCTCCTGCTTCAGCCTCCTGAGTAGCTGAGACTACAGGTACCCTCAATGACACCTGGATAATTTTTCTGTTTTTTTGTAGTGATAGGGTCTCATTCTCACTCAGGTTGGTATCGAACTCCTGAGCTCAAGGGATCCTCCCAACTTGGCCTCCCAGAGTACTAGGATTACAGGTGTGAGCTACCATGCCCAGCACAGGACAATTACCTTTATAAAATAGACTAAAAATTAATTAGTAGAAAAATAGAAGCATAAAATACAAATCCTAGTTTATTATGTTATTATTAGTTATTACATTGATAATTTAAAATTACTCAATTGCTTAAAACTTTCTTTTTTTTTTTTTTTTTCTTTGAGACGGAGCCTCAAGCTATCCCCCTGGGTAGAGTGCCATGGCATCACGCTCACAGCAACCTCCAACTCCTGGGCTCAAGCGAGTCTCCTGCCTCAGCCTCCCAAGTAGCTGGGACTACAGGCGCCCGCCACAACGCCCGGCCATTTTTTGGTTGCAGCCATCATTGTTGTTTGGCAGGCCCAGGCTGGGGATTCGAACCCGCCACCTTAGGTGTATGTGGCTGGCGCCTTAGCCACTTGAGCCACAGGCGCCGAGCCTGCTTAAAACTTTCTAAATGATTACACTCAATTTCTACTTACGTCTTTGTGAGTTGGTAATAGGCCACACTTTGAGCTCTGGAGAGAGCATGGGATGCTGTCTAGGAGGTGGTTGGGCCTGGGGTGGAGGGTGGGGTTAGCTTTGAAAAACAGAGAGAGGAAGAACGAAAAAGGGATCCGAGGGCCGGGTGAGGGAACAGAGGCCCTGGAGACAGCCTTCAGATACTTCCTAGTTGGGTCTGATTCTGGCCTTCTGTGCCTGAGGTGACATTTCCCTTGTACCCAACATAATTCCCACTCACCTTTTACAAAATATTACGAGGGTCCAACTTACATCAACAATGAAGTTGATGTGCATGTAGGCAGTGTCTAGCAGGAGATTTGAAATTGATCGTGGAAGAGTCACCTTTTTCAGACCATTTCCAAGCAGCCTGCAGACATCTCATGCTGGTGCTGCAGTCTCTTCCTCTGTTAAAGGGGAGATTTGTTTAAAAGTATGTTCGTGTCTTGGCAATGGAGGATGATCCAATGCCAGGTCCTGGAGCATCTTTCACTTTGAGAAATAATCTAGAACTCTCTTCTTTGCGGCAAAGTGCTCCTTGGAAAGCAGTGTTTGCTTGTTGTTACAATACTTTGCAGTATATAGCCTGGCAAGCTCCTTATCGCCACTTCAGCTTCTGAGACATCATATTGTGTTGCTGTCAAAACTAGAAGCAGCGTCTGTGCCAGTAGGAAAGACCAGTCTGCGCGTCTCTCCCACAGCAGCTGACAGATCATATGGTACAGAAGGGGGAGGCTCGCGGTGCCCGCTTATGGCCATAAATGAGCACGACTTGTTTACAGTAAACTCCAAGTTTTACCAAGCTCCTTTCTTTCTTGGGAGTCATAACAAATGTATTCTGTTCATCATTGCTGTGAAGAAGATGGGATTCTGTTTCTATTGGAAAATTTCCACTGTCAGGAGAGCTAAGTCTTTTCTATGTTAGGTTTTATGGATTTGCACACAGAGGCTTTTTTCTTTTGGATTATTTGTAGCACTGAAACACAACAAAAACAGAAATGGAATTTACCTCCCCCCTTAAATTTTAAAGCTCTGATGGTATGTATATAACATAACCAGACATTGGACATTGGACAATGGGCTGCCTGTGACAGTGGTCCCCAGAGAAGGAAGGTGACCTAGGCAGTTCAAATGCCCAGTACCGCCTGGAGCTGGTTTCCAAGTTGCAATGCAGGGAGGTGTGTATTAATCAGGTTTCTCGAGAGAAAAAGAACCAACAGGATAGATAAGATAGATGGATAGACAGTGGATAGATAAATATGAGATGGGATTTATTATGGAGATGGGCTCAAGCAATTACGGAGGCTGAGGAGTTCCAGGATAAGCCATTTGCAAACTAGAGACCAGGGAAGCCAGAATCATGGCTCAGTCTGAATGAAAAGGCCTGAGAACCAGTCTTAGACTGGGGGTGTGAGAAGTTACAGAGATCAAAGGCTGGAGAACCTGGAGTTTGATGTCCCGGAGCAGGAGAAGATGGATGTCTCAGCTCTGAGAGAGAAAGAGAGAGGGAGGAAGGAAGACATGTACACAAATGGGCAAATTTCCCTTCCTCTGTCTTTTTGTTCTATCACTCTTAGCTGATTGGGTGGTGCCTGCCAACACTGACTAAGAAAAGAACTTCCCTAGTTCACTGATTTAAGTGCTAGTGTCTTCTGGAAATGCCCTCACAGATGTACCCAGAAATAACGCCTTATCAGCTCTCTAGGTATGTCTTTTTTTTTTTTTTTTTTTGAGACAGAGCCTCAAGCTGTCCCCCTGG